AATAATTACTCCTGTGTTTTACCCTTCCTTCCTTCCTTCCTTCCTTCCTTTCTTTCTTTCTTTCTTTCTTTCTTTCTTTCTTTCTTTCTTTCTTACTCTTCATCTTGATTTATGAAGCTGATTTATTATTCTATACCTTGAGGGAATCTAGTGTTCAATAATAAGAAGTATAAACAACTCAAATTGAAAATATTAAAAATAATGTATTATTTCTCTTCAGCAAATAATTATCATGTCAGGCTGATGGCATTTGTCCTCTAAGTTGAGACATTTTGCCTGACCTAGAGGAAATATGAAGGCACAAGTGGTGGATTGTAGGCAGTACACCCCGGTATGGGTGTACGGGAGCCAGCGCGGAGCACTGGATACCATTCCGGTATGGTGCTCCGGAGGGCCCACCCACCCGAGCTCCTACTTGTGTTTTAAGGCTTCTGCCTTAAGGCTTCCATGGAGCAGCTTGAGCATCACAGAGCATCGCGGAGGTGCTAAGACACATATGTGCACTGCATGCATGTGTGCACGCGTTCCGCGCATCCATGAGGACGCCACCAGGCCCATTCCAACCGTACCAGTTGGAACGGGATATGAAACCCACCACTGGAAGGCACCCAAATCTCTTCAGGATCAATCTAATATGCTGAATTGGAACAGCTACTATTGCCATCGTCAGGATCATATGGTAGCTTCTTTTTTGATTATTGATCCCAAGTATTTATTTAGATATGCATATTATTTGCATGATTTCATTTAGTCTTACGGGGCCTTTTGGGGCGGGGTGGGAACCTGTTTTGCAAGATTCAGTGAGATGCAACTTTTTTTAAAAAAAATAGCTATATGAAATTATTAGCCATTATGATATTAGAGACTTTTTAGGGGCTATACGTCACTTGTGGATTTTGCATAGCAGTTCACCCTAACTGCAAAAATAACAAAGAAATAAAAAATTGAAACCCTACAAAAATCTGAGTCGCACAAACAGTGAATTTTAATTTCTTCAGACCCTAGCCAGACTACCTAAAATATATAGATGTTTCATCTGCAAAGCAGAAACATTATTCCCACCCCCACCCCCCAAGATAAATAGATTTGACTTATTTAAATCTGTGAATCATACTGGATTAATTTTGTATGGGTGCGTTAGGAAAAAAATAGTTTGACTTCTGCCTCTTTCCATTTTTTTCTCAGTGTCAATAACTGTGCCTGTTGATAGAGCAGATGTTTGCCAGCAACATTATTATTCATTCAAGATGTTTGAGTATCAAGAAATACTTGTCTCCCACATTAGGAATTATTTATATAAAGTGCATTTTGTTCATATATTTTACTCCAAATAAACTACCAAGAGCCTTTATAAACTGCCCATTATTAGATAGTGCTTAAATCCACTAAGTGCTACGGTAGTGGGTTTTTTTTCTTAAAAAAATGTTAAAATATCAAAATGTTAATATTAAAAGCATTTAAAATATTAATATCTAGAATTAATCTTTTACATCTTGGGGAAATGTACAGACCATGGTTATCAACTGCCCCTCCTTGTAAGTGAAAACGGCTGTGAATTCTTCCATCGTATCTCTGAATTTAACCAGACCTTCCATTGCTTTGTAGATTTCAACCTTGCAATCAAACACCCTCACTCGGAAAGTGAAGCGGACCCTGCCTAGCCCCCCACCAGAAGAAGCTCAGATTCCTCTGACCAGCCAAGCCCACTCACAGATGTACATGCCTGGCTTCATGCCAAAGGGTATTGGCGGGCAGCCCATCCAAGTGACCAAAGCCAGCCTCCTTAGAGAACTCGACCGGGACTTGAAGCTGGTAGAGCATGAATCCACAAAACTGAGAAAGAAACAAGCCGAGCTGGATGAAGAAGAGAAAGAGATTGATGCCAAGCTGAAGTACCTAGAATTGGGGATCCACCAGAGGAAGGAATCTTTGCTGAAGGATCGGAATATTCACGATTATCCGTATTTGATGCGCTTGGGAGAGAATCGAGATTATATGTCAGACAGCGAACTAAATAACCTTCGCCTCTCTGGTTATGAGACTGGAAGCCTCCTGACAAGGCCCAGCGCCACCCCTTCTAACCAATATGCAGAATTTTCCAGCACCCAGTATACTTCAACAACTTCCTACACCCCATACCAGTACTCCTCAGTTCAGACCGCTGCACAAGGGCCAGCTGCATTCCAGCAAACAAGATTTCAACCTCCATACTATCCTCCAGCAAGCAGTGGTCCTACTCAACATGATTTCCAGCCAAACCAGATGCCTGCTTACCCTTCCCAAACTACATACCAGGCACATAGCTTCACCCCAAGTACTGGGTATCAGTCTGAACTGGGCCTACAGAGCCACCAAGGCTTCTGCCCACCTTACCAAGTTCAGACCGCTTATCCCAGTCAGCCTGCTCAGGGTGCTCTTCTTCAGACTCATGCAGACACCCACACAACCTCCCAGAAACCAAGACAGACCTCACTGGCTGACTTAGAGCAGAAGATCCTGACCAATTATGAAGTCATTAGCAATCCCACTGTGGTGATTTCTGCTGCGACTCCAGAAGTGATCTACAGCACCGCAACAGTGACCAGCAGTTATGATCAACACAAAGCCCCAGAAGGGAGGCCAGGAGATAGGAGCAGTGCTGCACAAAGTCCCTCTACAAGCTATTCTTCTGACTCTCTATATACCAATCTAGAGCAAAACATTCCTCGGAACTATGTGATGATTGATGATATCAGTGAATTAACCAAAGAGAGCAGCACAGGGGAGGGTCAGAAAGGAGATTTGCCATCACACAGCAGCAATGGGCTGCCTATCAAAGAAAAGAGGGAGGTTGCAGATGTAGATGTCTCTAGCAGACCTTGTTGCTATTCAAAAGGAGAAGAGTCTGAAGAGGATATTTATGATCATCATGGTCCAGACCATCGGGGGAAAAGCTATCCTAAAGGCACAGAGAGCAATGGGAGAGTATCAGGTAGTTCGTATTATTATGGAGACAGTGATTATAGGTCATCCTCTCGTCCAGACAAGCATGGAGCAAGTATGGGAGTACAAAAACACTCTTCAAAAAATCTGGCCCCTGCTGTCATCTCTTCCAAGCGCAGCAAGCATAGGAAACAAGGTATGGAGCAGAAGATCTCCAAATTCTCCCCTATAGAAGAAGCCAAAGATGTAGAATCCGATCTGGCCTCCTATACAGCGACTACATCAGTTAGTAGCAGCAGTGTAGCATCCAGAGCAAGGAAAATGCAAGATGATATCACTTATGGCCTAAAGAAAAATGTATATGAACAGCAGAAATACTACGGTGTATCCAACAGAGATGGGATGGAAGAAGATGATAGAACATATAGTGGTGGGCGATCAAGATCCTCTGGATATGTGTCAGAAAAACTGTCAAGCCGTGAAATTAGAAGCAGATCTTATGAAAGAGAGAGCATGGAGAGGCCTCAGAAAGGAAGCTCCAAGCCTTCCTCCCTTAGTATGAGTCAGAGTCGTGGGCGACCTCCAATTCGCACGCAAACTTCAGAAGAAGAAAGTCCTATCAGTCCATTGGGGAAATCCGTGGGCGTATCGCGATCCTCAGGTGGTCCTCTTCCTCAGTCAGCTGGAGACAGTTGCTCCCAGTTTTGCTCTAGTCACTCATTGCCTGATGTACAAGAACATATTAAAGATGTGCCAAGAACCCACTCTTACAAACACGAAGAAGGCTACATCATGGACGATTCACACTGTGTTGTTTCAGACAGTGAAGGTAATAACTACCTGTAGTGACTTATCTTCAAGCATGCCCAAGCGGGTCATATTTGCAAAGAAAATGCCACAAATTTCATTTGCTTGCCGTGTGCCTTTATCATGATTTCACTTCTTGTTTTATGTTAGCATGTTGCACATTGCATGTCCTAATGTTGTTCACTGCTTGTTCAGTGTGTTTTTGTGCTGAGGTTTCTGTTTTTATATTTCCTGAGTGGCTGCTGTGACATACCCTGTATTCCTGTGATAAGCTTCTTCTCTATTTCATTGCATGGCTTCCATCAGAATACATTCCTAGCTTTGGATCAGGAGATTCACTGTGATCTTTTTTGGTTTCTGAAGCCTACCACTTGGGCCAAGAGGAGACGGACTGGTTTGACAAACCAAGAGAACCTCGTTCAGAGAGGATGAGGCATTACGGTGGGCATTCCTCATCCTCTCAGAGGAGAGGTCCAGTTAAACACACCTATCATGATTATGATGAGCCCCCAGATGAAGACTTGTGGCATCACGATGACTATTCCCACCCACGTCACCCTTCCTCCAAAGATCACAGGAACCATGGAGATTATGGGCGACATTCATCTTCCTCCCGCCACTCCACTGATGACCTACCCAAGAGATCATCCAGGCAACACCCAAGGGACCCAGTCCGCCATGAGCCACATGGACGCGGACATGGGCAGCCCACTTCCCAGAAGAAGGCTCAGCAACCAGATTCAAGAACGCAGCAAGGTTATCCTCCCAGCTCCTCGGAGTACCCTCAACAGTCGCGACAGCCGTCTGGCTATCATCATACCTCAGAGTCCCAGAAATCCCAGAGGCAGATGCAACATGGGCTGCCATCTCAGCAGCCAAAATCCGAGCCTCTGTCTCACCAACAGCAGCAGCAGCAGCAGCAGCAGCAGCAAAAGCAGCAGCAGCAACAACAGCAGCAGCAGCAGCAAAAGCAGCAGCAGCAGCAGCAGCAGCAGCAGCAACCCAGGCAACAGCAAGTTGGGCAGCAGCAACCATCATCTAGG